CAGCCTTTCATTTTCTGCGACTCACCTGGCGGAGAGAGAGATATTAAAACTAAGAACAGGGATGAAACCCGGGATAACGGAGTGTAACAAGAAAATGGTGGCAAGGAAGACAGGGAATGAACTCAGACACGGGGAAAAGAGAGAGCGAGACAGAGTTAAGACAGGGGAACGGGAGTAGACGTGCAATGAACACCCCTCAGGATCTCTTTATCCTGCATTGTCACACTCTGTTATCCCAGCAGTCTTCTTGATATTTAGTGACAAAGCCTAGATTAGGGATGCCTACCTATCCTCTACTGTCCCCACTCAGCCCTGTGGAGAGGAAGCAGCCACGCAGAAACCCTCTGCTGATGAATGCACGCACATCAGGTGAATTCTGCGAGGTTCCTAAGCCGTGACGAGGTTTCGTGTCGAGGCCCCAAACAGACTTGTTACCCTGGCCCATTACTCCGGCTCAGGTCACAGAATAGGGGGAGCTCAGCAGGATTCATTAAAAGCCCACGGTGAGTTGCTCAGTCAGGCCGGACGGTCCAGTGATTCTGGGGCGGCGCGGAATACAAAGAGGTCCATTGGAGGTGGTTGACAGAAAATGACCTCCGTGTATTTTAGCCCTCGGAGGTTATTAAATGTCGCGTCGCCGGGGGCTCGCAAAGGGTTTGCAGCGTTTGCAGTACGTTCTGGTCTTCCATGAACAGGTAGGATGTAAGCAGAGCCATCCAGAGGCTCAGGAAGCCTCGCACACGTGGACTTGGGACACCAGCCACTCAAAACAAGGGTGACGTCGCTATCGGTGGAAACCGGTCAGCGGATGTGTTTTGACTTCAACGCTTGAGATGTTATCTTTCATTACAATTCGGAGCCATCCCCAAACAAAAGGATGAAGATCAGCGTCCGAAGGCGTCTCTCCATGCCAGTGAGGCTGAATTCCCTTTTTAACCCGGCCAAAACAAGGACTGAGCTTTCGGCAAAAGAAAACACGACAACAGAATTAGGATTCGTGTTGCGAGGCTTTGCAGGTACTCAACGGAGCCCTTAAGGCTACTGTCAGCTAAAACCCTCACAGGAGACAAACAGCTAATATGCTTTTGGTGTTTCACAGCGCTGGAGCAGATGGTTATGATATGGATTACACTGACAGTAAGTCAATAAGACCTAGATCCCGGGTTTGCGCAGGATTAGTCGCTTGTTTCTCGGCTCCCTTTTATAATTTCGTGTTATGATCTCTCACGCCTCTCTGTTTTCGACTCATTCTAAGGCTATGAAATTATTCTCAGAGGCGAGCGCGAGTGCGGAAAAACAGAGGATTCTCGTTCTGTTGCTTAGGTCCTACCGGTCGCCCTGCGGAAATCTAATTTATCGCTCCCCCGCCATATGTTAGACGTCTGCACGCTTTTACTCTGATGTATGTGCACGGAGCAAGCTCACAGGCCAGCTTTGGTTACAATTAACCAGTGCTCCATCCAATCAGAGTTCAAAAATTAAACACCATCCAGTCAGATTTGTGTGATAAGCAGATGCCTTTCATCACAGCAGGGGCCCAGACGGCTCCTTCCAGCCCACCTGCCCGAGCGCTTCTCAGAGATGGTCTGGAATAGCTAATTAGGCAGCTCCCTCTAACCAATCCAGCATGGGACGCTCACGCCAATCCCGCGCGGTAAAAATTCCGCTTGATCTCGTCATCAAGCCTCCGCCGTTATTCATGTGTCAGCATTCCTCCATTTGATCACTCGTCAGCGCAGACAGAGGAGAGAGGAGAGGTGTTTTGGTGTGTTTAAGAGTTTCAGTGGAGTTTTGCAGGCGCCCGCTGCGCATATCACAACGCCCGTTTTTTTTTTTTTCAAATGCAGTCCCAAAGAGGGAGGAGGGGAGTCGGACTGGGACGACAACAAAAAAATGAAGAAGAAAAAATAAAAGAATCTTTTGTCAACGGTGGACTCGTCTCCGCTCATCTGCGTTTAAACCAGTTGTCATGTCGTCGTGAGAATATTCTGGTGGTGATGGGCCGCACCTCCACAGCTTTGAGCTGCAGGAAGCAGACTTCAAAGAGCCCGTCTCAACTGCAAGGCTCTTTGGTACACTTTTCTTAAAAGCGAATCCATTTTTAGCTGTTATTTCAGGTTTAGCGAGTGCATAAGCAGGGGGA